CGGGGCCACGGCCAGGGTGGAGGGCAGGACCCGGGCGGCGGAGGTGTTGTAGATGTCGATGCTCTGGAGGAGGCTGAGGCGGCCCGCCACAGGTTCGCGGTCGAAGACCAGGAGGTGGTGGTCCCGGTAGTAGCCTCCCGAGGACACGTAGATGAAGCGCCCGTCCGGCGAGGGCGCGACTGAGTTGGCGCCAATCATGCCCTCCACGTCCACTATGCCTTTGCGTTGGTCGACGCGAAGCTGTTGGACAAGGGCGAGCTCCCCCCGCGCGTCCCTCTTCAAGACCGTGATGCCGCCCACGCCCGGCATCATGCTCGTGCCCACCGCGTACACGTTCTCCTCATCCGGCGACAGGGCCAGCGCGGTCAGGCCCGTAAAGTACTCGACCGTCTTCCCATTCCGGTCCACCACCCCGTTCTGCAGCTCCTGGATCTGCTCCATCGTCCCGCTCCCGGGGTCCACGCTGAAGGCCAGCAAGGCTTCCGCGGTCATCGCGTACAGGTTCTTCTTATTCCCGGCCAAGGCCAGCGGACCCGGACCTTTGGTCAAGGCATGCTGGTGGAGAAAGGAGACGTCCAGGGTGGGGAGGGAGATGCTGCCGTTGCCCCTTTCGGGGCTGCCGGGGATGTCCCCCGAGGCAAGTATCCGGTAGTCTGGTACTTCGACTGCGATTTCGGCGGTGCCCGCGGGAGAGTATATTGGTGGATCCGAATGTGGCATTATTGTCTCCCCGTGCCGACGAACGTGCTGTCGTTGGGGGGCGTTGCTGGTGCTCAACCCCCCTTCCTCAGCACGCTTCCCTGTCTGTCCTCTTTCCCTCACCCCACCCTCTGCTGCAGCGTTGCAAGGCTTTGCAAGGCCATACAGTACAAGAGCCACCATTGTGGTCTTTAATGAGCCCCATAGTGGACGAGTTGGGCGATACTGTGTCATTAAAGCGGATGTCGTCCCTATAGTCGCAATATGGCCCGCTGGGGTAGGGGGCTGGAACAATGCGAGCTCGCGGTCCTGCGAGTTGACTTCGACGTGCGTGTTCTCAACCCTGTGCAACGAGGGGATGAGGAAATCATTCATAGAAAAAGCGGATGGCTGCATGCTATCATGACATGGGTTGGGAGGGACGGGCGTCATGTAATCGCCTGGCAGCGGCCTCCGCGTCTCGAGGCTCGGGGCAGCCGTGAGGAAGTTGGTACGTCACAGGCGGGGCAAGATCGATAGGGACGTATTCACAGTGCCCGTAAAGGCGCTACTGGTCAGCCGTGACAGACAACAAGCATGAAGAGCATTCAAAAAATACCCAAATAGCATGGTGTCACCTTTGTCGGACGGCGCACCGCAAATCTGGAAGAGTCCTGGCACAGGCGGCAACGTCCGGGGCGGGGCGAGTCAAGCAGCTCTGAGTCTGGCGAGGCGGCGAAAGGGAATGAACGTGGTCGGTCACTGAGGCAGTGGAGGGGCACCGCGAGGGGCTACACAGGTCAATAGTGAGGATGAGAGGTCGCCTCTGACGTGTCGCAAGATTTTTGATGGCTCGCAACGTGTCCGTGAGGGACAATTAAAAAGAAGAAATGAGAAAAGGGTGATGGAGATTTCGAGCATGGCTAGAAGATATAGAAGGCAGCTGGTACGGTTTTTTTCTTTGGCACGACAACAGAGGCTGAGACAGGAAACAAGACGTTGTGATCTTAAAAAAAATACCAGTTAGCGGGCGCGCAAAGGTCGCGCAACTCAACACTGACACATTTGTCATTTAAGGCCCATTTCCGTAAGCGGTCGCTCTTAGTGTTTTTTTTTCCTGAGAGGGCCCGACTGTTTGAGAAGCAAGCTATGCGACCATCTAGTGGCCCCTGGCGCTGTTAAGGTCTACAGTCTCTGGATTTCGAGTTTGGCCCCTGTCTTGTCCCTGTCTTGTCGAAGCTGCAGCAGGCGCCACACGACAACTTCTTGCAGCCGCCTTTTCTCGTCCTGCCCTATCAGCGCACAGGGAACATGCTGTCATCGATGCCGCGCAGTGCCGCGCAGGAAGGCCCACGTACTAGATGGGTTGGAGCTCCCGACCCGGCGTCTGTTGCGGCCAGAGGGTGGCGGTAGGGAAGGCCTGTATTAGAGGCGAGAATGAAGCTCCCAGCTTGGGGGGGTGTAACAGGGTGATTGCGTCCTCACGCCGGCACTGCCCAGCGGCCCCACCACTCCCGACCTTGCCGG